ATGATTTTAAAAACAACTACCATCTTAATTTGTTTTTTATGATTTTCGTTATAGAGATACTCACAAAATATCGATCTACATCACATAAAACGCTCAATTCTAAGCAATCTGCACGGCGAGCAACACTACTGAGAAGTTTAACCAGAACATATCAAAGTGCATTGCGAGGCAGGCACGAACCTGTTTGCCATCAAGTTCTTATTAAGTCATAAATCATTCACATTTATTTCGGGGAAAACTCTATATAAATATAACCCAAAGGATACGACAAACATACGCGCAAGCATGTACAGTTAATAAATTCACAAAAGTATGCATACGTATTCGCAAGCATTATTACTGCTGCAACAAACACATCAGTTTCCATCATTAACAACACACTCCCAGCATAATACAAATAAGGTTAACATAAATTAAACCAGTCTTTTTTCGCATCGTTTCGTTAATCTCTTCTGCATTATGTCTAAAAGCTGATGAATTGGATGCAGTTTCATCACGAAAAGTCACCAGCAACCAGCGTCGCCGAAACAAACAAATGTGAACGAATGACGTCATAATGTTTGGAATTTCCGTTCATAACATCTGAACAATGTTTAACTTGACGTTACATTATGTTATTGTTTTTATAATGAAAATAACAAACGAATTAATTTCATAATCTCACTTACACTCTCTCTCTCTCTCTCTCTCTCTCTCTCTCTCTCTCTCTCTCTTTCTCCTCTCTCTTTCTCTCTCTCTCTCTCTCTCTTTCTCCTCTCTCTTTCTCTCTCTCTTGTGGCTACGATGACGTCATAAACGGCTTCTTGGCAAACAAACCGAACAAAACTCTACCATCTTTAAAATATTCATGAGACGTCGGAAACGTAGTTGTGACGTCACGAGGCGTTTAAAAGTAAAACAGGATTAAGACAAACAGCCATAAGTAAATGAGAAGAAAATAGTTGGCGCCAGTTTGCAATGACAAACGACCTCTTTCTTAATTGTTTTTCTTCTTTTTTATTTTCAGAATAATTTAAAAAAATTTCGTGTCTATATGTTATGATGATTATTATTTTCAATTTTGAAATGAAAATTTCATAATGTTTTAAAATGTTGCATAGATTTGTGTTCGTTTTCCTTATTAAAGCCACAATTTTATTGAAAATAATTTTGTTTCATACATTTCTCGTCTCAATTTTTTAAACATTTTTGTTACTTTTTCCTCTTTTTTCATGAACTTTTGATTAGTTTCTGTTCTTTCAACTTCACATAAATTTGGTTGCTATTTTCACCCGTTTCAAAAACATTTTTCTAGTTTTTTAACTTTATATATATATATATATATATATTTTTCGCGATTTTTTTTTGAACTTTTGTTTTTCGCATTATTCAGAATGACGCGAGAGATATGATGTGACAGGTAAATAAGAACATTTGTCATTGACTGGCTGTCCGGCGATCTTCTCACAGCAAGTCCCGCTTTTTCATATCCACGTTCCAACTAATAAAATTAATAATAAAAACAAAATAATAATAATTAATAATATTATTATTGTTTTTATCAAAGTTGTAATAGTATTGTTGTTATTATTTTTAGCAACTTATCGATCAGAAGATTTTATAAATTTTTCTATTTTCTTTGATGATATACAATTCAGAATTTTTCATCATAAAATTTTGTTTTAAATTTTTAAAGTTGATAAAACAATTTTAATGATAATGTTTTAGTTTATTTTAAGCTTTTGCATAATAAATATATTTGAAATTTTTTTGGCAAAATTTAAACAATAAAGTCGATTTTGTTAGATTTATTCAACATAACACAACTAATATATTCAAAAATTTATTCCTTTATTTATTTAATTATTTATTTATTCATTCATTTTATTTTTACAAGATTGAAAAAAGTTTTGTTGGAGCAGAAAATTTAAATTAAACAAAATTTCATTTTCAGGTGTTGAATAAAAACGTCTATTTGATATAAAAACTAATGAAAATGGAAAAAAAGATTAAAATATTATTAAAATATATACAAACATACATGTGTGCGTGTGCAAGCGTGTGTGTGTGTGTGGTGTGTATATATGCACATACAATCACATGTGCAATGAATTCACGAACAGATATAATGAAAAAATATCGAAGTCATATTTCAATATATGTTGTATTCGCATATATATATGGATATATATATTTATATATATATATATGTGTGTGTGTGTGTTTGTGTGAATGTGCGTGGGTCTACACTCCTACAAACATACATTGTATTTATAGTACGTATGTATAAAGTTGTAAAGAGATGTCATGCCAGTATTTACAAAGACATATGTATATGACATGTATAAACGCATTACGCGTATGGGTGCGTATACGCAATATGTTATGTATTACATACGCAGAAATGTTTATTCATACGCTCTTTTGTATGCGTTGTTTGTAAATTATATATAGAGAAAGAACTACAGAGAAAGAAAGAAGTAAACAAACAGAGTGAGAAAAAAAGAGGAAAAGTAAGAGAGAGAGAGAGAGAGAGAGAAAGAAAGAGAAAGAGAGAAAGAGAGAGAGAGAGAGATAGTGAGGACTTCAGTACATGCACCATATTATTTTATACAAATAATATACTTGAAATGCAATAGAAGAACTAAGATTGCAACACACAGTTATTTAAATTAGAACTAATTAAAGTTATATAATATGTTTATATATGTATATATATTATTCATTATTGTTATTCTCCTTCTTCTTATTATTATTATTCCTATTATTCCTATTATTTTTATTATTATAACTCACTGCAAAGATGTTTCGTTCAAGTGTGCACTCAGATCAAAAACCCATGAAACTGTTTTTTGACTGGCTGCGAGAGATCAAAAAAATTTGAAATTATTTTTCAAAAGCATTCACATACAAACGCAAACGAACAAACGTAATAGATTTATAAGAAGTATAAAAAACCATGAACTTATACAATATTTTCATACTATACCGTATAAGCTTGTATGAAAACCACAGCAAAATGCAAACACAAATGCAAACACTGACATCAAACAATTGTATATACACATACAAAATTAAATACAAACATACACATACATAAATGTATACAAACAAAAAGATACACACATACACACACATGTATAGGATACACGCATGCATACATACATACATTTACACTTACATTCATACAAGCTATATTGTAATATGTGTTTTGTGGAATAACGAAAATCGATGTGATATCTCTGTAGCACCGATCAATAAATGTCCTTCCGAGTTCCCCAACAAAAATGCTTGCCAAAATACAATCACAACAAGCAATAAACATCCCAGCATACAATCACAATAAACATAACAGTCTAAAATCACAACGAACAATAAACATAACCACATACAAGCAATGCATACAAAAATACAAATACCACAAAAATAAACATACATTCCGACACAACCAAACGAAAATAAAACATAATAACGTGCAAACCCATCAACATACATACAAACCCGTCAACATACAATCACGCCAGAAACAAACACATCAATATACAATAGCACAAAATCTAAACAAAACACGACAAAAACATACCTGCAAACATACAACCACAACAACAATAACACAAAGAGTAGGGGTAAACAATAAAAAAATAGCACTATGAAAAATAAAATATTTTATTTTTTTTTAATCATATTACTCTCCACTCCACATATATGTATTATGTATGTTGGACAGGGGCGTCATTTCAGATTTTGGCTGGGGGGGCGAACTTATGTGGTCTATGACTTAGCATGTAACATATATATATATATATATATATATATATATATATATATATATATATATACATTAATAAAGATCACGGCGTTTCTTACAGTACTCAATCTATATGATAGTTTCTCGATTCTTCGAATAATTCTCCGATCTACCAAGCTTAACTTGTTAATGCTATTAACAAAATTCCTATTTACAGAAGATGTCATTATCTACATGTATGCATATAGTACTATTTCGACTACCTAGTCTCTTCAGTGCAACATTATAATAAATTTTACATTTTTAAAGCTTTAAAATTTCAAAATTTTTAAAGTTTTAAAATTACTAAATTATATATCTTATATATATCCTTTTTACAAAAAATTTAAAATTAACACTTTTATAATTTATAATTTTAATATTTTATAATTCCCCCCCCCCCCCTGCCTAAAAGACGCCTCTGATGTTGGATCTTCCAAATATACAGACGCACGTATGCACACACACACACACATATATATATACACCAAATACCCTATATAATATTATATAAATATGTGTATTATACATATAAAATTCTCGTTAATATAGCGTTTAAATCAATGTTTAAACAGATATGACCGTGTATTTAAACAGATATAACCGTGTATTTACTTGAAATTTATTTGTTTGCCCATACAGAAAAAACTCAAAGTAAAATTAAAGGAAAACTTGGATTCATCAACGTACAATAAACGCTAAGCCGATGGTAGATAAGCAATTGATGCATAAAAACCATTGCAGCCTTTAAACGAGAATAAAAAATTTTATGTTAAGAAATAAAAGGGTAATGTTGTCCATACACCCAACCCACACACATTAGGGCTGAGAACGTTTCTAAATCACATTCAAAATCATAGAACGGAGTTATTTCAATCACTGTGTAATTGTCGAAAATGGTTAAATAACCATACACACACAACACACGCACACATTTATATATATATTCTTGACACATACGCACCTTCTTGACACATACGCACCTCTGCAGTGGCAGAAACAAAAATATAAAAAAGCATGGGTATCTGATGAAATAATAAAATTATCAAAAAAACAGAATCGACTGTATAAAATAGCAGTCGCTGCACCAAACTCCGCTAATGTTGAAAAATATAAAAAGTTTAGAAATTACTTTACATCAGTAAAGAGAAAGGCAGAAAAAAATTATTTTCAACAAAAATTTGAAGAGGCAAAGAGTTGCTCCAAACAAAAATGGGAAATAATAAACGGTATAATGAATAGAAAACAAAACAATCTTGAAATTAATAAGCTAAAAGTTGACGACAAAATCATCGAAGACCCAGAGGAAATAAGTATTCTTTTCAATGAATACTTCATCAATGTCACAGAGAAGCTGTTAGAAAATCAAATAGTTACTGAAGATAAATTAAAAATAAATAGTGCAATCTGTAAATCAATGTATATGAACTCCACCAGTGAAGAAGAAGTAACGTACATTGTTCAAAACTTAAGCAACAAAAAAAGCACGTCAGATGATACTTTAAGTAACAATCTACTTAAAAAAATGATCCCAGAAATTGTCATCCCAATCACTCATATTTACAATCTTTCCATCGTCCAAGGAATATTTCCACAATGCTTCAAAACATCCAGAGTAGTTCCAATTCACAAAAAGGGGAGCAAATTAGAGACAAGTAATTATCGACCAATATCTCTACTTTCTCCACTTTCCAAAGTACTAGAAAAAATAATTTTTGTCAGAGTCACCTCATTTCTGTCCATAAATAAATTATTAAATGATAATCAATATGGCTACAGAGCACAGCATTCAACTGAGCAAGCTGTGCTGCAATTAGCACAAAATGTTATGAATAATCTTAACGAAAAGATACTGACTGTAGGTGTATTCATAGACCTCTCAAAGGCCTTTGACGTCATCAACCACGATATACTGATTAAAAAATTAAATTCACATGGAATAAGAGGAAAAGTAAGTGCATGGTTCAAAAGTTATTTAGAGAACAGAGACCAGTATGTGGCAATAAAAAGTCACTCCTCAACAAAACTTAACGTAAGATCAGGCGTGCCACAAGGATCAATTTTAGGTCCTCTTCTATTCATAATCTTCATGAACGAT